GGAGAATAATATGCATGGGCGAGGGACATACCAATATAGTGACGGTACAAAATACATAGGAGACTGGATCAATAATACGATGACAGGTGAAGGTATGTTCATATGGCCCAATGGTGATTTGTACAATGGAAATTTTACGAATGGTATGTTCGATGGAATGGGAAAGATGCAGTACTCTAATGGGGAAATGGAAGATGGTCTATGGTCTGATGGTGTATTCATGAATTTCACGAAGAACTGATATGACCTCACAGTAGGATTCCGAAGAGACACATCAACACAAAATTTTTCCTAGTCTGTCTCGTAGGACTCATGAGAATGATTAATTTGAAGTTTTCATTATTCGAAAATACATAGTGTTATATATCTGAGAAATATTAATTCATTTCTATTGTCGTCAAGCAATCCTTATTTATTTTTTTCTAACTGAATGTGATGTGAATACCATAGGAATAGGTAGGTATCAATTATAATCCTATTTATTCTTCTGAGTATTAGTTTCAGTTGAAGAACTAATCCTTATAGAAGCTGAAGATCTTCGGTTGATGTGTATCTGATAAGCATTAAAATGTTGTACATCAAGAAAAGTATAAAACAATATCATCAAGAATTCGTTTTATTATAGTTTGATATAGGGTAGTCCGTTTATTTATTTTTCGAGAATAGTAATTATAACAATTTAATTAAGTATGTTGTACAAATTTTAAACAAAAAGATTATAATTGTACTAATCAAAGAACGAATACTTGAAATGATAGTTTTTCTTATTTGTTACCATCAAGTTAGACCGATGTCTATTCATTGACAGCTGCATTATTTATGATGGGTTGTTCACTGTTTTCAGATAGTGGTTCAAACGGACGCATTCAATCAATTAAATGACGAGCAGAATGGAGTTTCACGAGCAACATTTTGACAAAGTAAGGATTAACAATATTTCGATAGAAAGCAACACTAAAACCGTTTAAAGTCACACAAAAATCATTCTGAACCGTACGAGCATCTTGATAAGGAGCACGTTTCGGCAATATGTGACCGTATCGTTCTGGAAAAAATTTCATTGAGATTCATACCAAGAATATTGTTTAAATCGACCAATAATGTGTTGAATTGTTCCTATTGGATAAGACACAATTATGGCAATTACATATCCACGTGAATCGAACTCGTTTCAAATATCTGATACATTTCAATTTATTTTTATAATAAACACGAAAACATTGATTATGAAAGCTGTACAATCGAACTTGTTTAATACATTTTCGAACTAAATCAAAGTAATACGAGATCGATTTATTTCTACTCAATGTAGGCATATTGACTTGAGAAGCTTGTACATTTTAATCTCATTCGATCCAGAAGAAAGACAGTAAATAAACATTCACCAGTGATGGCAAAATATTTTTATGTACTTTTGCGTTCGACACTCTAGAATCAAAGAGAGGCTCTCATCTGTATAACTTTTCAATAGTTCATTTACTATCGTAGAAAGAAAGAAAGAAAGAGCAAGGTTCTTATTTTCTTACAAATAGAACTAGATGTAAATATTTCATTTTATATGCTATAATTGACTATGTGTCACACTTGAAAAACAACAGAATCATGAATACTTGTATTTTAAAAAAGAGTTATTAATTTTATTTATCGAAATTTCAATCAAGTTATAATAATATGAGAATCAAAAAACGAGACCTTGATTTCAAAAAAGTCAATTGTCCTTCGAATATTAAGCGATTATCATTAAAATCTGAATTATTTAACAGTATATAAAACATATCAATCCGAAAGAGCTTTGACCGCTATACTCACATGAATAACAGTCAGATCTTCGTAATCTCACCCAGGCAAGTAACGACACAAAAAACAATTGTATTATGAATCTCTGTTATTGATTTATATAGTATTTTATTAGTCACAGAAATCAAATTTTATTTATGTGCGTCATTTGTACACTGATTAAAATTTGTCCATACAAAATGGTTTTCTTCACCAAAAAAAACTTAAAACTCCGCATCCATGGAATTAATATTTCAGTCTGTCGTTAAAAGCATTGAAAAACCTGTTATTGTCGGAACTGGTTTCAAGAGAAACATGTTTGATCCAGAAAGGGTGTGGGTGTGTGTTTTATCTTTTATCACACACGTCCACACCCACACCCACACCCACCCCACATCCAAAAAATACATCTGCAGTTACTCCAGTTTCATGTATATGATACGCAAAAAACCATTGTCGTTCAAACCAAAATAAAGATTCAAATTGGTCAAATAGATCAGGATAAATCTCTCTATCTGTTGCGTTTATAATAACACGATGCTGAATATCAAAGATTCGTAAATATGACATATGTGATAATATAAGGAATTGCCATCGATTTGCCATTAAATAAGCTATATCTCCATGTGTCAAAATATATAAAACTTGAACTTGATGAAAAAGATTTTTTTTTAATCAATATGTCAAAGTCATCAAAAGTGACATCTCTCAAATTTAAAGAAACATGTGTTAAGTGATTCAATACAATTGAACAAACCTTCATTTGCATGTTACATGTAGATAGACTATCAATAGATAAACGATGAAGTTGAGGAACATATGATAGAAAAGCAAATAATTCATTTAGATTAATAGTATCTTTGATGACTAAATGTACAATGGGACTAACTTCATTCGTTGCAATAGGTAATTGTTCAGGTGGATGGAGTGCATGTATTGATAATTTACAATATTTTAGGGAAGATAAACGAAATACTTGTTTATAAAAGTTATTTCTATTTGGAACATAATTCTTACAAATAAGTACTAATGAAGATAGATGAGGTAGGAAGAATAAATCATTAAGAAAATTATTAAGATATTTTGATTGAATTTTATCAATAATAAGTGTTTGAAGTTGAATTAATTTTGGTATTAGAGAAAACGAGGAAAGGAATACATCGACAATAATTAAATTTGATAAATAAAATGATTGAATTCGATGTTGATAAGGAATAATAATATTTCTATAATAATATTCAAAATTTGATTTTGATAAAGATGAAAGATTGATTTTAATAGGAAGAGTTGAACTGATAAGAAGATTTCGAAAACATGTATTAAGATTGAAGAAAATTTCATAAATATGAAAAAAATCCAGATATTCAAAAATTTCATAGATAACTTCATTAGAAAGACCTTCAAAATGAAAGATAGTTAATAAACTAAAAGAAAGAAATTTAGTTTTGAAAGAATAGAATTACTTTTGTATTAACCTGTTTGAATTAAATGCTGTCACTATAAAAGATGAAATACAACATGATAGATATGAAAAACAACATTACCTTGTGATATATTGTTTATTTGCTCCATCTTGAAATAAAACTAAGAATGATCAATGCTAACACAAAATGCTTTTGACTTATAAAGCAAAAAACAACGTATGCTCTGATTCTTTCTCAATGTGCAGAACAGACCACAAAGAATCTCTTTTTTCTGTTGATACAAGAGCGATTATATACATTCTGACTCATAGAAAGTGAAGAAAGTAAATACAATGAGAACAGGTCGTCAGAAGTAAGCGAAACTTGAGTCAGCCGTCCATAATGCATCCATGCTGCCTGTACTGCACAGAGAATTTCCAACAGATGTCCTCTGTAACTATATTGATTTTCATGATAATTCGTTTTTTTTATTATTTTAATTGATTGCTAACAATGAAACGACATTGATTTTATTTGCTGATATTTTCAGAAACGGAAATTCGTGATAGCTAAGTAAAAACAGACAGATACTACTACAGAAAATATTTCTAGAATGTCATCTAATTTCTCAAACCAGCTAATTCCATTTTTGAACAAATATTGAGCGTCTATTAGAGGAATAAGCATTGTTATATAAATATAATATTGCTAAATCAATGAGTTTTGTTTGTGAATTAAAACTATTTAATAATAGTATGCAACGAGCAACGAATTTCAGTATGTATTCAAAAATAAAACTATTATTCTTGCTGCAAATTCTTATAATATACTACATTAAGCACAGATTTTAATGAGTTCACCTAATCTGAGCTGATTTTAGCGATTCATGATCATTAAGAAAACGGGTAAAAGATATTAAGTTTAATCTTACTGGCGACTCCATACAAAATGGAAAGCGTCATGAAGCAATAGCTTCTATCAAAATTGTATTGATTGTAAAATTGATCTTTGTCTAACTCGGAAAAATATCAACGTTCTTTTTACAAATTTTACTAAACTATTATTTAAGTTGCTTCGGTTTCTATATATATAACTTTACGTTTTTTAATATCTTCATAAGCACATGCTTATATAGGATAAATAGACAGAAAGGTGACGAAGCGTATCGAATCACCTATAAAATTATTTATTCAAAAATAAAAAAAAAAATTCTTTTAATAATTTTCTCAGTTATTTTAACTAGAAAATATTGCAGAAAAGCGAATACTTAATTATTACCAACATAGGTAAATGGAATAAGAGTTATCAATCACATAGTTAACATGATTTTTTTTCTGATTTAAGTAGAGTTGCTACATTTCGAGGTATGTATCTATTAAGGATAGATAAGAAATTTTGTCATTGTTTCTGATAATAGAAATCGTACAATTATTTCTAACGGTTCTCAAGGCTTACTTACAGTTAAATGTTCTACTCGAGGACAAAGAGTCACAAGTAATTTTAATTATTCAAATGTATAGTTATTTCTAATATTCATATTTCTAATTTTATTTGTATCAGACATCATACGAAAAGTGTTATCTCGTTTAATAAAATGTAAATCTGTGTTCTCACATACTGTTTGACCGAGCTTTAACATACAAGTATTAGATGTTGAACTTAATATATTGATAATATGTTTAAAATATAAACTATAACAATTGATATAGAGTTTAGTCATTTTTTTAAAGGAAGAATAGAATTTTAAAAAGTCAGAGTGAAATATTGATATTCATCAGTAAACTCATGATTAAGAGTAAGTTGAGTAACATTTGGAAAATAGTTTCTACAAGTAACCAGTAATTTTGCATTTTCAATTCTGAGGTAATGAATTGTATTTATCACGGTTTGTCGAATAATTATATGGAGACATTCTTTTGCTTAATTCCAGAGCTAGTGTGTAATATCTTCTCCTTAAAAATAGAAAAACAGCTACTATTGTTAAAATAAATCAGTTTATGCCTATATAAATCTGTTGAATAAAAAAAAAAGAGATAAGGACCTTGATTATTTACATCAGTATGATATGCAAAGAACCATTGTCGTTCAAACTAGTATGAAGACTTAAATTGATTGAACAGATCATCATCAACTTACTGATCTAATATATAGACTGAAATATGATGCTCGATATCAAAGACTCATAAATATGACACACATTATAATACATGCCTTGCTATGTTGTCGAAGTTCAGTACGCCAACTCGGTTTCAACACATCCATCAATTACAATGATTGAAAATTGAATTGTGGTGAGATCTGCGAATTTCCTGCATTCTGAACTCGAAAGCCATTAAGAAAATATGAGTTCATTGAATTCTAAGAGTTCTAGAAAATCTAGAAACTCTTGGGTGTGGATGTGGATGTGGAAGCAGATTACCCATACTCACACCCACACCCACCCTCTTACAGTTAATCTTTACATTAGTTTTAAAAAAATAATATAACGATCGATCTTATGGTTTTTATGCTCTCTTTCCTCTTCGTTGTGTATTTTCAATTGATCCCCCCATAACGAAACGAATTCTGTGTAATATATCGAAGTTAAAATGTAGTATTTATTGTTCCCGAAGTAGTGCACATTCATATATTGAATCCTCTTATACTAATTTGGAATCTGGATGCCATAGTTGCTTTAGCTATGTGATTTATCGATTCAAAAAATTTTTCGCTACATTTTTTATCATAGTATACCTACGGCTTGGTTGCCTTTGTTGACATTTTGCTCTTGAAGAACTATTAAATATATAAGTAAACTAGAAAAGAAAATGGCCTTTTAGAATAAGCGCAGTTAACATTGTACTCCTTATGTAAAAACAATAATCCTGATATCAAAATTTTGGATTATCATATGTGTGGCATTAGTCGTTATATTCTATTAAGTATTTAGTTTTGAATAAAATATATTAGATAGTTATAATCAGAAGTCGCAGACGCTGGCCATCTATTATGTGCCATTTGTTAGACCTGTTCATTCTAATTTCAAACACGAACAATAGCGAAATAGCATAGTAATTATTTTGCAATACATCTATAAAACCATTACTGTAAATAAATTTTGTTTTTTTTTAATCTCATTTTTCTTTAGTAGTTTTCTAAACCATGCTACCAACACTCATGATAGGTCACTGTCCGCATATCGAAATTGTTATGTCTATTCGTATTCGTTTCACGACTTAGAAATACTAAAAAATTCCAATGAGAAGTTGACAGAAAACCGATTCTGTCTGGTCGAAGTGATTTTCAATGCATATTATGTTTCTCTATTTTGAGAAAAAGGTTAGGACGTTAATAAGCATCTTCCGTCCTGAAACGGTTAAATCAATCTTAATATCCAACGAAACTAAATAATACAGCTCCATAATCATTCAAACTAAAAGTACATGTTATTAATACCTCATAAATCAATTATTATTATTATTAAATTTATTTTTCTTACTTCAATTAATTCATTGCTGATGCTATGTGAGATGAACTTTGTTTTTTATAAACTGCATAACGGGCAATATCCCTTTAAAAGACATTCAGAATTTACTTTCGTAGAGGATACATTCTCTCTTTTTGATCGAAAAATAAATTACTAGCTGATCATAATGGTAAAATACAGTAAAACAAGATATTTTTGAGATGATAAAATTTGTCTTGATCTGTCGTATATTAGAAAAACTGTTACAGAAGTTGATGGGAGTCACTTTCCATGTGCTTTTATTATTATTAAAGTCCGAAATGCATACAAAGTATTTACAGAAGTTAGGAGATCAAGTAGAATATGCAGAATATTTTGTACAGATTGAATAATTGCATGATGTTATAAAATAACAAAGAGATAGAAAAACTCAAAACTAGAAAATTGTGTGAACTCGAAAACACTATAGTATCTTTTTTTTCACAATTTTTCTTTTATTGTGTAGCTTTTGAAAATAAATTGATAAAATGTGGAACGTCATTTTCTTGAAAATTAACAGAGTGTTAGATTTGCAAGCTGTAGACATGTTGTTTTATTGAACATTACTAATAAACAAAGAGTTATAGAGTTTTTTATAATAATCATTGTGAAATTGTTTTTTTTCATCATAAAACACGAGTGTTGTCACTCTAGTTCTATCACACTTAGTCCAACTGGCTAAAAAACTAACTGCAGATTTGTGAAAAATATTTTCCATTGATGTATTCATTTGCTTTTATTGTAATTGTCGAATTTTATTAATTTGTTTTTGACTTGTTGATATTGAATTGTTTTATTGAAAATTAAGTAATTAAATACTATCTTCAAGAGAATATTCTCAAACATCAAATGTCCGTCCTTTAACTTTTATTGTTTAAGGATAAAAAAACACTGACGAAATAAATTTACAACAAATAAATAAATTCTTTTCTATGTGAAATATTCTACCATGTTAAATGTTCGAATAACTTGTAATAGAGGATAAGCTTCAAGCATATCACGAAGTAATATATTTTGCTCAAAGTAGAAGTATAAGTACAAACTTTTGTGTCACTTGTGGTCAAATCGTCTCCATTTCTTCAAGCTATCAATTTCATTCTTATTGTAAACTAATCGACTAAAATATTTAAAAAACAATGATAATTTATAGTAAAAAGCGTACTTTTAGGTTTCATATTTTTCTAGCAACTGTCGTCAAAAATCTGAGTTCATCATTCGATCGAGTTCGTCGAGTTATATCTGTCTCACAGTACTGTTGAATTGGCTCAGTAAATGGAACCAATCGTTTAGAAAACAACTTGAATTGACTGCTAACTTTCCTTACATAATTGTAAACCCTAATACTCTTTTAATCCTGTATGACGATGGAAAAAAAATAAGTGAAGTCATAATATAGAACACATTTTTTCCAATCTTTGATTCATTTTCTCTTTCTGTTCTTCAAGCTGTTCGATAGGTGAATGATAGAACAAGCAAAACAAAGGTAATATTTTTATGTGAAAAAACGAAGAATCTCAATAATATATGATCACACGTTATTTAATATAAACGGATGAGTGCGCACAAGCCAAACTTATTTAACGATGTATATATAAGCCATGTGATGCTTTTATCTCTTGCATACAACAACGTCGATACATTATAGTGATATACTTGTCGTCAACACACAATATTTTACACTAATA